CATAATAATAATCAGCTATTTTTATCTGTAATACAAAAATACCTCGTAACAAGTTTACTTTAGGTGCTTACAAAGACAAATAAACAGGTTTCCACTGAATGATATAAAAAATAAATGTTTTAACTTAATGAAAGAAACACCAATCGAAATCTAGAATATAATAAATTAATCAAAAAAATTTAAAGACAAAGATTATTAATTACAGTAATAGTTACAATGAACTATTGTTCATTGATTCATGTTTTTCTAATACCAACTAATTTGTTACACGCAAAAAAGGAAATTTACACATAAAATCGAGGAGTTTATTATAACAATCTTTGATTACACAATCAGAGCAACAAGTAAACATAAATTTATTTATCGTAAATGAATGCATGCACGCAATATTTGGAGTGATTTTATTATTTCACAAAGTAGGATATTTTGACCGATGCTTTCGTAATACGTTTGCGGGATTATTTCTAATTTAATTTCGGTGATCATTTATTTTTAAATTTTTTTTTATAAACACAATCTTCTATTTCTAGGTCAATTGAGATTTTAATTTAAACAATATATACGTAGGTTTAATATGGAAAAAATATTCATATATCACAAAATGAATAAAATATATTTTTTTGCTGCGGATCATAGTTCAATTATAATAAAATGATATTATTTTGCAAACGTTAAAAAGTCTTCAACTTTATCTAAATATTCGATTAATAGCATGTTAAATTGTAAGGTTTCTTTTATCCAATAAATTGTAAAATTTTAGATAATGGCGCATGTTGTATATATTTATATCTATATAACATGTATAAATGGTAATGAGTTTTTGAAAAGAAGATTTCTTAAAGATATTTGTTCTAAAATAAGTCAACCAAAACTTTATCAAAATTAATTGTCTAAAATATCACAGATGAATAGGATATCTCATAAACTGCAATCACAGGAAGTTGTTTCTATGGCAAACAAGTAAGTCTTCCAAATTAAACTGTCGTTCATTTAAATGAATATTTTAGATATCAATATAATATATATAAGTATTAAATAATTTAATACTATTATAAATCAAATTCCATCCAAACTCTATTTCAAATCAAAGACATCATGTATCTGTGTATGCGTATTCATCATACTAATTTATAATAATCTTTTATGTAATTCGTTGCCTACAAGAAAACTCTAGTAAGTGACATATTTACAAAATTTCCTGCACATAAAATGCGCATTTTGTAGTTAGGTTCTCGGCAGACTTTTCCCTTAATTGCAACAATTCCAGTCACAATGTCATCAATCTTCCTATTTTTCCTTTTCTACTTTTTCTTTGATTAAATAAATCATGCCATGTTGGATATTAAGAAATTGTATACGATCAGGAATTTGAAAAATAAATTTTGGGGTACCGTAGGGGATTATTTTGCAGCTTGTTTCCTTGAAAATTATTACTTGGGTGATTCATTTTATTATTTATTGATTTATGAATAAAGTAAAAAAGTAAATGTCAAATAGTAACCACAAGAAGTCATAGAACCCCATTCTAAAAAAATAAACCGAATATTCAACATATTAAGCCCAAGTGTCAATATAATAGTCCTTTCAACTTTTTATAAGGTACCATATATCTTTCGTTACTGTGACTTTTTCCTACTACAGACAAAAAATCTGAAATATAAAAAAGATTTCACAGGTCCTTTGAACCCAAATGCAATTTCAATAAGATTCAGATCAAACTTTCTTGTGTAATAATAAAAAGATGATGATGATGATGAATTATTATTGTTATTAATGTTGTTGTTGTAGATTTTGTGCTGTTTATTTCTAAAGCACATGATGAAGATGGTGATATTAATTGATTTTGATGATGATAAAATATTAAGCATCAAAGAAACAATCCAAATATATATCTGTTAAAACCAAAAAACCACTTTAATTTGAAAACCTCCAAAAATATTAATCATTTATAAATATATATTTCTGTTTTTTTAGGATAAATACAATAGAAACTTTTTTTATGGTGGTTTTTTTGTCACTTTAATTAAAGCCTTTTTTCTATTGCCATTGCGGAGAAAACATGCTTATTATTTGAAAGAAGATGTTGAGATAGTGTCAGTAAGAGTAGCAATGCTTGCATGATCCTTGGAACTCCATTAGCAAATAACAAATAATAAATTATCCAATTCTAAATACATTTCACTTTCGACTAATGAAAGAGATCTGGCATGAACTATGGTTGCTTGCCGAAACTCCTCCAGAAATCAATCAGCAAATTGTTTGTTAGAGTTTCGGAAGTCTTGCATTTGGCAGAGTTTAGGCAGTCATTAAGAGGTTTTAGCAAGCAACCTTAACATGAACGTTTACAACATGAATCTGCTATTATATATGGATGTACCAACTTGATTCTTTGTTAAATCTTTTTTTTTAGAAATCAAATTAATAGGGAATATATAAATTATGGCGGAACAAAATTTTTTGGAACTGACAAATCATATAATAAATATCAAGTGAAGGAAAAATAAATACAAAAAAATCACTTAAACAAATATACTTGAACAAATACAATAAACAGATCAAGAAAGAGGCTTAAAAATGTATAAATCGGTATGTTCTGTTACAAATTCTGAATTATTCGTTTAGTTTTATTTGAATTGTCCGTTTTATTCGTTTTATTCGTTTTTATTCGTTTTTATTCGTTTTATAAAATATTAATTCACAGTTTGATGCAACAAATTCTATATTAATATTAATATTATTGTTGAGGGATTTTAGCTATTTGTAAAATTATAAATAAGGCTTATTTCCTTTTAACAAGATAATATAAATTACAATAATCATTTAATAAATATATATATATTACTATGACTTAAGAAAATCTCTATTTATTATCTAATGTTACACATAAAACATTAATTGAAATTTAGATAAACTTTAAAACGTAAAGGCTCAATAACCAAACAGGATATGGGAATAATCTTTTCGCAATTTTATTTCCAAATACTCAACTAATAGCCTATTAAAGAAATTTTTTATTTATATTAGTAAAAAAATTTTTTATAAAGGTTCAAAGTTGTCAATTTTATTGGTTTTTACTATAAACAATGGAAATTTGAAATGTAAAGGCTCAATAATCAAGCAAGCTGTGTAAATAATCTTTCCGCGATTATATTTCTAAACATTTGATCCATAGTCTATCAGAGAGTTTTTTTTTATTTATATTAGTAAAAAAAAATTTTATAAAGGTTCAAAGTTACCAGTTTATTGATTTTTACTATAATAATGAAAATTTAGATAAGCTTTAAAACGTAAAGCCTCAATAACCAAACAAGCTATGTGAATAGTCTTTCTGTAATTTTATTTCAAAACACTCAACTTAATAGTCTGTCAGAGAGTTTTTTTTTATTTGTATTAGTAGAAAATTTTTTTATAAAGGTTCAAGGTTGTCAATTTTATTGATTTTGGGGTGTCACAAAATAATATTGATAAAAAATTAGTTAACATTTCAAATTTCCACTATGCTCACTACATCTTGAAACTAGTATCATTAAAAAATAGGAGCTAATCAAAAGACAGTATACTGAAAGACTGTATAATTAATAACAAACAGAATATGGATCTTTGAGAAATGTTGGTTTATTTTATTTCGCTCACTCTTTTATTCATCTATTCATTAACTAAAAGAAATGTGCAACTTCAAAAAACTTAATGGGGAAGCATAACATAGTTAATAGTACTAGATAATGAATAATATTACTACTAATAAGTTATTGTATATAACATCATATTAATATTTTTTGCTTTCAAAAAAACAGATCCACCAATTAAACAATGGGACTGGATTATTGTTCAGAGCATAATAGTGATGGTAAATAATAATTACTAATAATAATTCTTATTGTATATATTTAACTGTATTAACGAGGTTCACTATTATGGTTATTGTTACATATGCAAATGATTATTATAATGGCTTATTGTTAACGTGGTAAGTAATAATATATTAATAATAATAATTTATCGTATAAAACTGTATTAACGGGTTTATTATTATGCATTCTACCATCAAGGTAAGTAATAATATATTACTAATAATTCTTATTGCATTAACGGGGTTTGCTGGTTTATTGTTACGCGTAGTAAGTAATAATATATTATTAATAATAATTCTTATTAAATATACAATATTGTATTAATATTTCTTTTCTTCCAAATGGGTTTACTATTATTGTTACGCGTGTGATCATCAAAGCATAAACAAAGTAAGTAATAATATATTATTAATAATTTTTATTATATATATATATATAACATTGTGATTAATATTTTTTCTTCCAAAATGGGTTTATAGTTAAACAATGGGTTGTTTTTACACAAAAATTAAAGAAAAGAATTAGTTATTAATTTATTATTATTATTATTATAAAATTTATTTGTATTAAAAAATAAATAAAATGTCTATTTAATTAAATAAAAAATATATTTTCTAGTAATTTTAAGAATAAACCAAGTATAGTTTAAGTGCAATTCGAGCATAGGGCCACTTTTTTTTTAGAAATTTTTATACTCCTTTTTTCAACTCTTCTCTCTCTAAAATAACTTTATATACAGTCGGCGCTCGATATAGTGAAGTTTTGGCTAGTACAAATTTGGAAACTATCTGCGTTAATATCCAATCAAATTCAACTTTTCTGAAGATAGTTTCCAAATTTGTACTAGCCAAAACTTCACTATATCGAGCGCCGACTGTAGACCTTCCGCTTTTTAACCAAAAAGATTCTTCAGCTTCTAGATTGATATAATTGATTGTTGAATATGTTGTATAACATCATCATTAGTGATACAGAAGCTAATTTTAGAAATAAACTTATAATTTTTTTGTATCTATACGTTTTTTATTTAGTACATTCTAACTAGTGTTGGTCGTCAAAAATATTTGAAATGGTGAAAGTCAAAATTAAATCAAAAGTCAATAGTCAAAAATCAAAACTAGCTTTGACTTATGGTAAAACCTTTTGACTTTCGCCCGGTTGCGATACTCTCAAGTTTTGGAAACAAACACTAATTCTAACAAATAATAATAAGTTACTAAATTATAAATATAATGCACAGTAGCTATATACACGAATTTTTGAATTAATTTCTCAAAATAAATATAGTATATCTATCCATAATAACGATTAAAATTTTTTTCAAATATTTATTTTTTGTGAGCTTTATAAACAGGTTAGGTTGCAATCCAAATCCGCAATTTATTCAATGGCCAACTTCGTTGTACACACAAACATTCCAACAAAATGATTTCAAAAAAAAGTTTAAGAATAAATTTTATTAATTAACCGTGATATAAATATTTTCGAATTTAAAACATTATAAATAGCCGTTGATTTTTTCTTGACATTGAAAAATTTCTTAAATTCCTTAAACCAAAAATAATTAAATTATTGGTTTATACAAAAAAAATGGCTCTTTCAAGCAAAAGGCATCTGATAGCACAAACCAAGAAGAATTATCTCCAGAAGGATTAATAGAGCATCAGCATCAACCAAATATTGATGACGACAATAATAATATGCATACTGAGGCACAAGAAAATGTTACGTGTCAACAGCCAGATAGCGAACCACCTGAAATGTACCATAAGGTCAACGCTGAATTTATTTTTCAAGGCGCAACAAGTTTGATTGTTTCCAGTCTATCTCAAGATAATGTTGACGATGATCTTATTTACTGTTATTATTGTGTGATAAACAATTTAATTTCAGTTTTTAATATTTTTTTCATTATTTAACGAATATATATGGATCAAGTATTCAGTACCTAATTAAAATAATAAATAAATAAAAAAGTAATAATATATTCTAATTTTCTATTCTAATCCTTTTTTACTTGACAAGTACATTAAATTTAATAATCTTTTTTTAAAAAAATAGAATACAATTTATAGAAATGATTACTAGGCGACTTTATTAAATTTTTTGCGTTTAGTTTTGCTACGTACTATTGAAAATTTCAAGTATCTATTTGTCAAGTAAAACAAAATTTTACTAGCAATAAATCTTATTCCAGCCCAATCCCTTTTCTAATTATCATATCATAAAAAAAAATTCGAATTCACCAATACTTCTAATCTGATTATTTATTATTCATCGACACCTGCAATAATCATTATGGTAAAAAAACTAAGAATAAAGATCTCGGCAAAAGTAAAAAAAATTCTGATTATTTTGAAAAATAATAAATATATCACTGCAATTTTTCTGCAAAAACATTTCACAAATAAATGTTGAATATCTCTAGACAAACAAAAACTAAAGTTTTAATCAATTTTCTGAACTTAATAAAAGGTGTTATGCATATTAAAATGCGCATTATTTTATATTGGTTTCAATTAAAAATTATCACATAGCATTAAGTTAAAAAAATTTACTTAAAAAAGGAACTTAATTAGTGATACTGTTAATATTAAGGAACCCATAAACCAATTCTAAAACAATGTGTAAAGAGTTAAAAGAAAGAAGCCTTGACAGTTTACGGGTCTATTTGTCAATATTAACATTAAAATATCGGTATAATAAACGACGTCATGACAAAATTAAATGAAGCATCCGCAGATCATTAATATGGATTACCACTCAATATTATTTTTTATCTATGTTGTACGTGAAAATGAAATTATGCGAATTCGCAATTCACATGTGGAGTTCAAATTTACATATGTGAAATTCAAATTAGCCGATCAGAATTTCACGCCATTCCATAATATTTCAATTTTACATACAACATCACAAATAAATCATAATGATAATTCATTTTTAACATGTCACACCAATAATAGATCTTTTTTTTATCCATCAATTCAAGATAAAAATAAATATTGTATTGTTTATTTTTTAACGGGTTACAATAAAAAAAACTGCATTTTTCACACAATAATTTATATCTTAATAATACTAATAATATTATATTATTTTTTCCGATGATGATCATTTACTATTACCTAGGGGTAAGTAAATAAATGGGGGGGACAACTCGATGTTACACATATAGATCTTGTGAATCCAAAACTGT